AACCTAACGTCCATAAGTATCAATATAAATACCAATATATTAAATAAGTCAAGCGTCAGAAAATGGTTGACACTGACATCTTCTCACAAGATCCGGTTGGGGTTCAAATCGTTTATATACTGTGTAATTGAATAATGATAATTTACCAAAAAAAATGACGGTATCTAACCAACCATTGTAGATTATTGACCCTTAATGTTTTTTTTTTTTTTATAGGATATGTTAAAGCTAAAACATCGGGACTGGCAATTAAATTCGATAAATTTGTAAAGTCTTATCCGGGCATAGATCATTAATGTTTGTTTACCAGTTGCGACGATTGTTGAATGAAGGCGAGATGAATATCTCGGTCTTTACTGTATAGTTGCCTTACATACGTACAATCAGAAACATGAGGTTAGAAACTGTCAACAGTGGCATGTAGTTTGTTTTCCGTGACCAAGTGGTTACAGACTTCATATTCTATGTCCCTGGCTGTTGTAAATTCGAATCCCGTTAATGAAATTGGATTGTTTAACGTACCTAATTGATGGTCAGTGGGTTTTTTCATGCGCTTGCTCCTGCCTAAAATAATGCACAGTGAGGGTTACTGAGGTCTTCCTTCGCCAATAAAGCTGGAAAATTGTCATATGTCCTTTACAGTGATGAGATTGGCGCTGTTTGGTAATCATCTTATACAGTGTAAAATTTTTTAATTGAGTTACTGTCATTTGTATTTTTTAAAAGCAAAACTGAAGAAGTGTTTTAGATATAAACTTGAAACTTTTTAAAAAATATTTTGATAGATTATAAAGGAAAAATACGTAGATTGTTGCAAACCTTTGGATTTTTTGTCCTTTGTATTTTTCTTACTAGTTATTTCACAGTGTAATTTTTCATTAGAGCATATCTTAAAGTCAAGCTGTATCAAAAACTGTATGTAACTGTTTTGATGGTTTATTTCAGAATCTTCATGCAAATGTTGACTATGTTTGTCTAGTCCTTCATTAATTGATACATGACCAAATAAACCCGAGTTAATATATAAATTAAATGAATATGTATCCATGGTGTAATTGGATTCAGTGAATTCGATTAAATAGTAATGTCAAGATAATCTCAAAATAGTTCGGTGTCATTTAGTAATGTCATGATCAGTCTTCGACTTAACCCACTCGACCGACGACCGAGTCGAGTAAATTTGCGGGTGGTCGAGTGAAAATTCCAAGCTGGTAGCCCGTCTGGTCGAGGGCTTTTTTCATATCCAAATTAAGAAAATGTTGGAAATATGCAGAGCAGCAGATAGCAATGTTTCGGCTTTATGAAAATACAATATATTTCTGCTGAATTGGATGGAAAACTAAAAGTACTATTGTCAACACTGCTGTAAGTTGAAAACGAAAGTAGCAGGAAGTGACATCGAGTAAAATGGGAAGGTAACTCTTGGGAGTTTCTGAACTGAAATTATTGATAAAGTTAAATTTGGTGTAAGCATTGTAGGACTTAACCTAATATTCAATTTGTTTAGACATATATTATAATGTTTTTGCTACAAAATAAAGAAAAATGTTGTACTTGCCACTTTAGTTATTGGAAAACATATTTTTCCCTTGCCATCTGCAGTTTTGTACTCAATATTTTCGTACCATTTAGTTTACAGTTACGGACAAATTCCTCAAAGACTAATTCTTTGTGTATAAAAGTTTTAATTCTATTATATTTATTTTTCATTAATTCTAATTTCAATTATAAATAATCAAAACCAAAGAACGGCACTAAAATGTAGTCTGTAGAAATAGAGTATGAATAAAGCCTCATGCTGACCATGTAGCTGATTGTAAAAGAATGTGACACATTCAAACAACAACATGTCACCAACAAAAAATGAGTCTTGTCATTAATTTGCTGTGTAACCTAAACAAACCCTAGTCTAGGGAAGCCTGCCTTAACTGAGCAAATTTTGTATTATTTCACATTGAATCAATATTTTATTATATAAGTCAGTCTGATTTATGTAAAGAAAGGAACTTTTTAGAAGGCAATGAAATTTGATAACAAAACAATGCAAATTCTTTTTATAAATTTTACCCCAGAATTTTCATTTTACTCTAGATTTTGATGGGTAAACCACCTTGGCCCTAAAAATTATTTGCAGCTTTATTGAACTTAAAACGCTTATGAAATATGATTGATTGTTAGACATTTATTAGGCGTCATCTCATGCTTCACAATATGTCTTTTTTCTTGTATTTTGAAGGCACTAAGCCAAAAAGGAACACACCAAAAAAAAAAAAATAAAAGTAATACTAAAAGGAATATAAATATGTTGTCAATGCATGTATCAGCCGACATGGTTACAGTAAACGAGGAGAAGAGTATTTTCAGTTTTTAAACAATTTTTTTCAGTGTCTGTGGACAATGCCACAGAAATATCAAAATATCTTCTTTTCATATGTAGTTTAAACTCTTCTTATTTAAATAATGAAAGGAAGAAAAGTTGATTAGTTGATATTTTAATAATGTTAAATGGTATATAAAACATATAGAAAGTGTTATTTTGTACAAAATGTATGCAAAAAATACCATTTTGGTACGGGCTAGTTAAAATGTGTTCGGGCTAGTGAAATTTGTAAGCTGCTAGCCCAACTGGGCTAGTGCTGATAAAAAATTAAGGCGAAGACTGCATGATAATCTCATTATATTTTCACTGTCATTTTTTAATGTCAAGATAATATTTAAATGTCATTTATCAATGTCGAGATAATAATTAAATGTCATTTATTAATGTCAAGATAATATTTAAATGTCATTTAGTAATGTCAAGATAATATTTAAATGTCATTTAGTAATGTCAAGATAAAATATAACATTCTAATGTCATTTAGTAATTTCAAGATAATTTTATATTATTTTGATGTCATTTATTAATGTCAAGATAATATTTAGATGTCATTTATTAATGTCAAGATAATATTTAAATGCCATTTAGTAATGTCATTACACTTTATATCATTTTAATGTAATTTAGTAATGTCAAGATAATATTATAATATGTTGATGTCATTTATTAATGTCAAGATAATATTTTAATGTCATTTATCAATGTCAAGATAATATTTAAATGTCATTTAGTAATGTCATGATAGTATAAAACATTTTAATGTCATTTAATAATGTCAAGATAATATTTTAATGTCATTATAGTTCACAAGAATGTACATTTGTTGAACGTTGCTCATTTTTATGAGCTTTGTATCACAACAATTGCTCATATCTAGATGATGAAAAAGCTTCAGTCAAGTAAAATGTATTATTCGACGAGAGATTAAGATTCCTCGATATGGCTTGTTTACTTAAGTTTCATACATGTTCGTAGCTTATATCATTTGCAACATTACTATTGTTTTCAAATATTCTACATTTTAGGATTATAAACTCGCCATTATTCGGCTAAACATTTAACAATTATTACACACATTAACGTACGGTTTAAATGCAAAATGGCAAAACATCCTTGTGTTTATCATATAATTATGTAAATCCTTTTGAAATAAAACATAGATTAAAGTTAATGTTAATAAGGTTCTTTAAACTCTAAACAACCCATCTGAAAGTGTTTGCGCACGTAAAATGTAAAGACCTGTTTAAGGGAACTAAGTAGAATAAGTTTTTAATCTAGTTTAAAGAGGAGTACCCTCCCTTTTAGTTTGAACGCATATTCAAAATGATTTACGTTTGATTTGTTTTGTTTTTTGTTTTTTTTGTTTTTCTTTTTTTTGTCGACTAAGTCGTTTATAGAAATATTATGTTATAGATTTTGTTTTGAATCTTATTTTTTTATTTTTTTTCTGCAAAATATGCAAATGTTACCCTTAAGAAACAGAATGACTGACTCGCGTGACATTTTGGTGAAGTTCATCGGCGTCATAACGTTTTGATAACCAAATACCCTCTTCCCCTTAAGACCCCGCGGGGACAGTCTTGTGGAAAACTGCCTCATTCTCTCACACTACCATTAAGACAGTTCCCTCGCTATTTTGACAATAAAACTAACACAACAATTCGAATCGACTCGGCATTATCCTTAACTTATTTACGTTACTCCAAGTTTTAAAGTTTATTGTATATTCTTTAAGCCAAGCTGCAAAAACCTTTATTTCTCTCGTTTTGTATATATACCCATTAACGCCTACTTTCTTGCCATAGTCAGATTCGTCAAACAAATGTAGAATTATAGACGATAAATATGTAGCTTGTTTATGGAAGCCTTATTATAGACTGTATTCATTTATCTCCGGTTCCAACGTATTGTACCCGCTGTGCATTCCCTGATAACTTTGCCTGCAGCAGACATGTAAAACTTTCCGTTTTGTTTCTCTATCAATAAATTATGGATTGTAAAAACATAGCAAAAATATATATTTAAATCAAAAAATAACTTCTACATCTAACGTCGACAGAGTAACTGTACAATTATGTTTGCAATCACTTTGAATCTAGAAATGGCTGACTTTGTGGCTAAGGTGTCTGCCTAGCGTTCCGGGAATCATGGCTCACGGTCATCTTTTTCTAATATGACACCGGTTTACTTTATGAAGCAGACCTGAATGTCACAAATTTAAGTTAAATTTGATTATATATTAAATATATAAAAAATGTATATAAATTCATTCAACAATTCTTCATCTATTTTAGGTCGATATAACTCACATACACTATTTATCCAGGAGGTCCGCTAATGTCTGCAGAGAAACAAATATGAACTTCTTTAAGGATGTGGATTTTGTAAATAATTGCGGTAAAGGTATTGCAGCTATCGGGAAGAAAAGGTGCCAGCCTTTCAATCCAAGGATCATGGGTTCAAACCGATCCCCGGTCATGAATATGTTTATCATGTGACACAAGTACTGGTTATTTCTGCAGGAAGTGGACTTGAAACTGATTAATGCAGTGTTTCACGTTAATTTCAATAATGTGAATAAATCTCGTGATTTTAACTTAGCTTAATCAAATGACAAAAGTTGACAGCTGAATGAACTTTATTGGTTACTTACATTTTACATCATATTAAAACATAAAACTAAAACAACTCAATTCCAACATCTGTAGATTTAAACAAATATCTATGAGCATCTTACAGTTCTATATTTGGTATATAATTTATATCATTCCACTGCCTATATGTCACTTGTATTCATGTTTGTAGAAATGTCAAACCTTCATACGCTTGTTTAAGATATGCAAATTAGCTCCCATAGGGATTGCCGAAGATTCAGTTTATATCCCAAATTTGATCAATTCATCTGCTAGAGAGGTTTACAGGTTTAACTCATCAAGATTTCCTCTCTGATATTTGCTCTGTGGATTTTAAGGGAGACAGAACGGGGAAATGTCGTTTTTGTATTAAACTAGAAAAAAGCTCATGTTTGATTTCTTCTGCTACTCGAATCTCAAAAAGTATTAGAACATATTTCTATCTCTAAATGAATAACTAATCTTATAAAGTAACCAATGATTGAAGTCTAAGATATTTTCTCGTATGGAATCATTTACCCCACACAAGTTCGTGAACTACGTTTGAGTTTTTGTACTGTACAATATGAAGTCCATGTCTGTACAGGTTGTCTCCCTTTGACCTCTCGCGAGAATTGAATACAGAATGTATTCATATAATTTCTTTTCTTAGTAATAGATTTAAAAAATATTTGATATAAAGTATAAGACATAACATATCAGAAATAGAATATTAGACATAAAAATAGACATAAAGTCTGTTTTTTAAAACGATTGAAATAGTCTGCTTTTACAAACCTATTTGGTATAACTTTTGCAAAACGGCATTTTCTGTTAATCAAAGTTAACATTATGTCAAGAACAAACACAGCAAAGATTATAAAAAAGTAAATATATGACAAATTTCAACAAAGAAACATATTGAGCTACTGATGTGACCGTGTATTAATCTCCCGATCCTGCTGTAAAAATTAAGGCTGAAAGCATTGTTATAAGTGTCAGAAAGTTTGTTTGGGATAACTTGAGTCTTCTGTTTTGATGTCAGAGTGGGTAACATTTGTAGTTGAGAACGTGTGACTTTTTACTGCTCATTACCCTGGCTGTATTTGATCTTTTGTACCAAATTTCGAACAAATGTTTCGCTGATTTTCTCCTTAGTTGAGCAGAAAACTTCAACAGGCCCAGTAGTCCTGTGAAAATATTAATATATAAAAAGAAATATGAATAAAACAGATATAAACGAAATGAAGATATAAAGAAAAGCAGAATTCATATTCGAACATTAGCCTTTTTTATTAGTGCATTTATCAACACGCTTGACCCGTGCACTGCGAGAAATCAATTTTGTACGTAAAATATGAAAATATATTTCCTGTCGCGTTTGAAACATAGGACTGTCTCTCGATGTGTTAAAATTGAAACTTGGCAGCTGTTGGCTGTTTCATGTGCTCATTAATTCAAAAACAATTTTTCGTCTCGTAACGATATTAATATAGTAATTAAAATACGAGGCTCTCATTTAAAAGTCATTTAAAAAAAAACATATCATCTCCAGATACAAGTTTCACTGTATAACGAAGGAATAGATAATTAAAAATGCATACCCGTTTTTTCTCTTCAAATTTTCTACAGTGTGTCTGTTTGTTAAGGTATCAATATTTAACATCTAGTGTTACTGAAAATATAACAGAAATAAACAGTGAATTGTTTGATAAATGTACAAAACTTTTACATTCAAACTCCAACTCTGATGTGGTAACGTAACATCTGATTTAAAGCGCCCTCTATGTTCATGGTAATATCAAACGGAACCCTGTCTTTTATTTCAATTTCTTTCAGGCTTTAGTATTTTATTTGTAAAACAAAGGTTATTTAAATTCTATTTCTTAATTAGATATAAGATATATAACAATTTATCTTCGAGCTCAGATCTGCTTCACAAAAGACAAATTATATAACAAGCGTTTTTTAGTGCTTTAATCGTCTTCAAACAAAAGAATCTTTTAACTACTAGTGCTGTTGTTTGTTTTAGACATTTAGTTGATATATTCAGAGCTCGACAAAGTAAGAATCAGCTTTGGTTGTCGACCTCTCACAGGATGTATACGTCAACATCATGTTAACCCTTACATCAATGATGTCTATTCAAATATTTGCCGATCAATCGTCCAAGAAATCAGACTCGAAATTTCCGTGCAAATATTCTGCGAACTCTAATTTGTATGCATGACAGAAAATTGGTGGTAGCAGTCACCATCTGTCAATTAACTTCGTTACTGGACATGATGGACAAAAGGATGTGAGTGACCAGTGGCCAGAATATAGGAATCGCAAACAATGAGACAGGCGTAATGAAAATAAATACAAGAAATAGCGCACTGTGTAAATAAGGTCAATTCTTGGGGCAAATCTTTGATAAATCAGAATTTCCATATCAGGATGAAAACACTGGTTTTCAGGAAATACCATTGGTAATAGTATTGTGTATTGGTAATAGTATTGTGTATTGGTAATAGAATTTTGTATTTTGGTAATAGTATTGTATAGTGTTTGAGTAAGTAATGTAATCAATAAACCTTATGTATAAAAATCACTCAACACGATGGAAATCGTGCTAATGCCATTTTATTGCTTCCCTACCAATAAACCACTGGACTTTATCAGTGAAATAAAATCCATATCATTCATTGCATATCATTCACCGTGATCCGAACTTTTTGTTGACGTTTGTATTTTTAATATTTATTATCTTATTACCTATTATTTCTTTCATTATTATTTTCATTTTTTTTTCAATTGCGTAAAGTTAAGTTGATCGTTGTGCTTTGTTCTTTATGGCGTATTTCCCGATAAAAACAACATAACTTTCCCTGAAAAGATGACTACATAAACTTATGACTTTTGTTTACGCAACGTTCGCCAGCCGTTGAACGTCTGACGTCTGTTTCTGGCGTAACAAATAAAACTGTCGAAAAGTATTGTTTTTAAAGTTAACAGCCATAAAATAAAAAGAAGTAAATGTGTTTGTTTTTACGTAAAAACGTTGCAATTTTGTCATTTCTTATTACTATGCACTCTGTATTTGTCCTTACATTTAATTTTCGTTGATGGAATAGCTAGTTAATCCTTAATCTGTTAAATTACAAAGAAACGTTATACAATGATTCCAGAAAATATACTGGTAGATTAATGAACTATTATATTGTAAAATTGATAGTTGCGAGTACTGAACTGACCTTCCATTTCATTCAGTCCAATTTGTATTTGTCGCTCTAGAAATCCCACTGTCTGACCCATAACCGTCGGTTCAACGTCGCCGGACATTCTTCCTGAAAGACAAACAGATTGACATTTTTATATAAAAATAAAGGACATTAATATAATATATGACAACTTTACAGAGTAAGGACTGTAAGTAACCTTTCCTGGCATGTTAGTGTTCTGATATGTTCCGTAGTGGTGTTTAATTTATGATTTGATTTTATCTTGTCCCTCACATTTAGCTTTTTTTTCGCCGACAGATCTGTTAATTAAATGACATAACGACATGTCATTGACATAATAATGATGATTTTATCAACATCCGGTGTACGTCAGTGTTGACTGTCTTTAAACTGTTTAGAAATCATGTTCAAAAGTTTGCAAAGCGTTTGATAGATGAATGACCTAAAATCACGACGACTTCAAAATACGTTTATCGTCGTCGACATCTTAATAGTCATGCATGACAAAATAGGAAAATGAAATGCACAAATTGAAAGTTCTGAACCTTCTGAATACATGTCGTCTGATGATGCTGTCAAGAATAAAGGTGTGTACAAAAAGTTAAATGTAATTAATATTCTAATACGATTCGTGACATTTCTATTGTAAGCATTCATTGAGCTGTTATAATTTACTCCCGACAACATTTTTCACAATATTTTTTACGAGTGATTGACAAAACTGTTATGTAACGGCATGGACTTTAATTTAAATTAAAGTCCGTGGTAACGTACGATAAATGATGACGTTAATTTGGGTCAATTCGATTACACATTTGACGTGTTACATGCATTTTGAAAACCAATATAACTTCTGTTTTAATAAATCCAATTAATAGATAGTAATCATTAAAAAACCGTTAACTAGATTTTGCTTCTCATCCGACTACGTCCTTAGTTTGATCACATAAAATTTATATCTATTGTTTTCCTGAATAACAATTTCAATAAATATACCGTATGAAGGAGTAACGTAAACTAAATAACTAATTCAAATATTGTGTCAGAAGGCGTTTAGAACAAACTATACACAATATATTAGGATTTTTTCTACATCTTGTTTTGTCATTGTTTTTAAATTTCAATTCATTGTATAGCTTATTTAAGTGTAGCCGTACGACCAACTTCACAGAAACGGTCTTCTATTCATTTTCCTATTTATCAACATTAAAAGTTAGCATTCATTTCATAATTTTCATATATTCATATTCAATAAAAAGTATTAAGTTATAAAAAAAACTAGCGTGACTAAAATAATTGAATATTTTGTTTTCTATCCTTTTTTTTTTGTTTCAATATGAAATACAAAATACATGTACTAATGTGTGAACAAGTCTGAACAGAAGCGGAACTTCTTTGTTAGACTGTTAAAACTTAACTGTGTTTGGGAAAGGTCTTTTGTGTCAAAATTATGTCGAAATCTGTCATAATCTGTCTTGTCTGAAAATCTTTAAATCCTTAAATATAACTTTAAACATTTTTTAACATGTGGGGAGAGTATTTAACGTCAAGACGACGCAAATGCAATGTTGAATATGCGTCCCACATCAAAAGGTTGGGAGGCGGTGCTAACCTAATGACGGTGGTTTAACATGACAAGTATTGGCCGCCATAAAAGAAAACTGTAAACATCTGGTGTACAATGGAGATATAAATCGCATCTATTTAAATGTTGTGTGATGTTTATATCTATTCGGTCCAAAACCTCACTTTAATTTGGTTTAAATGATACTGTTCGTGTAAATATTACTTTAAAGATACAATATATCACCACATATATTTAATATAAGAAAATAGAAAGTTTGTACGTCATCCTTTTTATATATATATATATACAAATGACGTCAGTATATGTCACCGTAATATATATGTTTGTACAAAAGACTAGGGTAAATTTCTAGCGTTCAAATATTATTGCGATAATTATAGTATTAATTAATATTATCTTAAAGCGTTCAGTATGAACACTATTGCGATTTTAGTAAATGCTAAATTACTAAAATGAAATATATAGTATTGCATAACAATTGTAATATATTTTAAACAAATTGTTTACGCCCTGTACAGATCTACAGTGATTACAAATAATGTTAGCACTTTCATGTCAGAGAAATATCTTAATTTAAAATAGAATAAGTTTCTTTCGTCCAGTCTTTATGTCTGCAAGTGAATTGTTTAATGTGTTGCATATTTTATATAATATTAATATCATTACAAACGATTGTAATTTTTATTCTTCATGTGGACAAAATTATAGGTTATATTTCATCAACTTGTACTCTTTGTTTTGATCAGTTCATTAAGATCTTTCCAATTATTCGCCTTATTTATATACTTAACATAATCAAAATGTCATGTTATATGAAGTTGTACATATACGTTGCATTGTATGCATGTACTAACTTTCTACGTTGTAAAACGGCCTTGTGTTACTACCAGTTTTTTCTGTTCTGTTTCTTTTGCAGTCTTATACTCTTATAGGTACAGACATTTACTACTAGGTTTTTCATATTGCAGTGACTGGTCACCATTAAATTTTTTTTTCAAAGTTATTTCTACTCATTTCTAAAAATAGGTCTTCTATTTTCAAATCTGTTAAATCAATATAAAACTAATGATTTTTGTAATTAAGAAATGTCAGCTGTAAACCGAGCAAAACAAACAAACACACATTTTATGAATTCGTACGCATCTTGAATTGATGAAAACATTTTAGAGATATAAGTCAATCGGCTGACAATTCAATTCTGCCTCCTACGTAATGCTTTCTTTTCAAATTGTTCATCAGCTTTATTTTATTTTTTCAAGACTTAAGAACAGAAACATATAAGATATAAACAACAATTGAAGATCTCTGTATTAAATGCCATAGTGACATTTTGATTCGCTGGCAGATTTCTGCACAGTTTGAGGATCAATTTGTTTGATTTATAGCTTTCAAACGTCCCCGGATATTGAGCGTTATTATCCGAGTGCGGTACAAAGGGCCATCACTCCGGCAGTTATAGGGCGCACTTTTGAAATTAAACAATAAAGCACAACCGTTTTCGATTTAAGGTCGGTGTAAGGCCATTAAAGGGCGATTAGATAGGCTGAATGCTTGAAACTGTTGTGGTTTATGATTATTTCTTCTCCTCGGAGTTTTGTATAAATGGCAAAATCGAACAGTTTATCTGCCATAAACAGCGAGACACAATACTTGAGATTGCATTGAAAGTTTGTATATGAAACAAACACTTAACACTTTAAAATAAAGATGTCATTTGTCGTGGGAGAAAAGAGCAGCATAGAATAAAGATATCTTTTCTATTCAAGTTAAAAGGTTTATTAGAAATTGCTTTTAGCTGTGTTCATTTATTTATGTTAACGTAATCTATATAGAATCGTACATGTATTAACGCTTTTTGTGGCCTATCCAACAATACTGTAACGTTGTAAATTCATTTGTATCATAATTGATTTATAAACAGAAATATCAAAATGATGATTTTTAACTCCTGCTTTTGTTCAGCATCGTACACTGTAAGGTTTTGCATTTTTAAATCTGTAAACATATCTTATTACTTAAATGCATTTTTGTATCTAAACGAAAAAGATATTCAAACGACATTAAAAATCATCAATTTCATATCTAAAGGCGAAAATATATACAAGCAAGATGTCATTTCATATCAGAAAAAGTTAGCAAAGGAGAACATATAAATTAATCAGACGCATTATTTGTGCAGCTTTAACACGGGGAAACTGCATCAGACTTATTAGTTGTGCACCTTTAATGCCGAGAAAAAACTTCACCAGACTTATTAGTTGTGCACCTTTAATGCCGAGAAAAAACTTCACCAGACGTATTAGTTGTGCACCTTTTTCACGGAGGAAAACTTGCACCAGACTTATTAGTTGTGCACCTTTAATGCTGAGAAAAAACTGCACCAGACTTATTAGTTGTGCACCTTTTACACGGAGGAAAACTTGCACCAGACTTATTAGTTGTGCACCTTTAATGCTGAGGAAAATCTGCACAAGAATTATTACTTGTGCACCTTTAACACGGAGGAAAAACTGCACCGGACTTATTAGTTGTGCACCTTTTACACGGAGGAAAAACTGCATCAGATTTATTAGTTGTGCACCTTTAATGCTGAGGAAAATCTGCACAAGAATTATTACTTGTGCACCTTTAACACGGAGGAAAAACTGCACCAGACTTATTAGTTGTGCACCTTTAATGCTGAGGAAAATCTGCACAAGAATTATTACTTGTGCACCTTTAACACGGAGGAAAAACTGCACCGGACTTATTAGTTGTGCACCTTTTACACGGAGGACAAACTGGGCCAGACTAATAAGTTGTGCAGGTTTTACACGGAAGAAAACCTGGGCCAGACTAATTAGTTGTGCACCTTTTACACGGAGGAAAAACTGCACCGGACCTATAAGTTGTTGACAAATAACACGGAGGAATTCAATGTGTCATTACGTATAATGTTTATTGCCCTTAATCCATTTGAATTTTTAATGGATTTAACATGCTTTAAATTTGAAACAGCCCATTCAAAATCAAAGGATTTTCATATCAAAATACAATACATGAGCTAACGACAGTAAAGAATTGGGTCAGGTCAGACTACACGGGTGTGCAGCTTCTCCTGGCTCTATCGTGGTGAAAAAAGGTGAATCATTTTCAGTTCCTTCAGGTTAAAGTTTAAAAGTTCGGTTTGTTGTTTCTTTCAATCGAAGTTGCTATCATTAAAAAAGTTGCTATCATTTAAATGTGTTGAAAATAAAGTTTTTTCTAAAGAAAAGTATTTAGTTCATTCCAAGACAGCAAAACAATATCAAAACAAAGTATAAACAAATAAAAACAGTAAATATAAAACAATGTTAAAGCAATTTAGAATATGATAACATTAGAAATGGCTGATGTTGTGATGATTAAGTGTCTAGGACTTTTACAACTGTAATAGCTCGTCTTTCTCAACTAGCATTCCTAACAAATCGACAAATTGAAATAAATTATCGTATCGTTTATGACAATTTATCTAAATGTGGGAATTATGCAGATCAGT